TTTAAAAAACCTGGTTGAAAACACACCTTCGTGTCCACGCACCTTGGTTCACGCATCCAAAGAGAGCATCTCAGACAGACTGCAGGACACACTCCTGATGAAACAAGCCAGGGGGACAAGCCCTCTCTCCACCGCGGCACCAGGAGGGCAGAGAGTTGGAAAAACAGAGAAGGCCAAGTAGCCTAAGTTTTACAAGGACTGCTACCTCCCAGGCCGCGAGGCCCGGAGCCCCGGGCTGCTGACTGCGCCCCCTCCAGAGAGAGTAACCAAGTCAGACGTGCAAGGCTCTGGCAGCCCATCGGCTCCGGCCGGGCAGGGCCCAGACAGGGTCCGAGCCACGCAGGAAGCACCGCTCACACGGTGGGCAGAGGCGGCGAGGGTTCGGGGTGACAAGTCGTGGCAGAAGAGCTGCTGTTCATTAACAACCAGAACAAAAGACCAGGAGACAATACGCTGTTAATCCTCGCAGCCACCCGAGGACTATAAATTGCCAAGCCAAGATAGCGGCATTTTTCAGCCCTCCTCTCTGCTGCCAGAGTTAGATTGAAGATGGGTCCAAGTCCCTCACCCCCACCCAAGCCTTAAAAACATACATTACTGAATCTTTTTGAAGTTCTAACCCTGAAAGATTTATGCCCTAAAATGGATTCGAGAAAAACACTGCCCTGAAACACTACTCTGGGGGCTGCGGGGGACGGATACACTTTTTCATTCCCGTTGAGAATGCGGTCAGATCAGCACAGGGTCAAGCCCAGCCCCGACCCTTAGGAGCTATTCTTCCTGACTTCTCGGAGCTGGATTTTCCATCTGTAAAATGGGAACATCGCCTCTCACCTCACAAGACTTCTTGGAGCATTAAAAGTAAAAAAAAATAAAAAATAAAAGTAAGAATAAAAATAAATTAAAAAAACATACCATAAGGGCAGCACTAAATAAATGCGAAGCATTACTGTCACTACTAACCTCTCTGGTACCACAGGAGTTTTATCTATGGCCACATGGATCAGGGAGATAAAGCCCAATTTTCTCTGAGTTAAGAAAGAATTCTTTTGGGTAGTGAAAGTGCTTTGGTGGGGGGAGCAATGAAATTAAAGAGAACGGGCTTTAATATAAGATATATTAAACTTCAGAGATACCATCATGGACCTCAGACAATCATTCTAATTTCCTCCAGCCGGGGATAATGTATTCAGCGAAGAGTCTAGATCATTCACAGCAAGCCGGGAACTCTAACGAGAGCCCCGTCTTCCAGCGAGCCCAGGTGCAGGCGCGTCGCCGGCTGCCAGCAGGAGTCCGCCCCGCGAGCTTGCAAAGTTCTAAACCGCGGGCTTGATCCTGTCGCAATCCTGCTTTAAAAGCCTTCCAAGAGCCCGAGGAGAAATCCATACTAAGGGCCTAATCTAAGCCCAACACTTACCGCCTTACAGGACCCGGCCCCCAACCCTGCTACCTTCTTCTTCGCCGCCTCCCCACGTGCCAGGCTGGTTTCCAGACGCAACGAAACGGCAGCAGTTATCTCTGACTCCAACAGACAAAAAGGCGGGTTTAAGCCACAGAGCCTTGCCCAGGGTTTCCTCCACCAGGAAAGCTCTTTGTTCCCTACCATCTCCTACACGGCACCCCCAGCACAGTGCCTTTGGCCTGCGTGCAAAGCGCTCTGCGAGGTCACTGCACACTGGACAGTGCCCCCTCCCCAGCTCTGCTGTGAGCTCCGAGGAGGAGGGAGAAGAACCACATGCGTAGCGTACCTACCAGGGGCCAGGCCCCATGCTGATTGCCTTCCGTCCGCTAACCCGTGGAGAGAGTTCTTTGCTCGCTATCACCATCCAGCCCAGGAACTTACCGAATGCCTAGCGCACACGAGGCTCGGGCCCAAACGCTAAGAGCAGGCTGGTGAAGAAGACAGACTGGATTCCTACTCTATTCTCGTGGAGGATGGAGACCATGGACAAGTAAACACATACAGAGTATCCGACAGTACAAAGGCTGTAAGAAAATAGAACAGGGACATGAGAAAGTCCACGGGGCGGGGGGAGAGGTGAGGACACTTTAGCTAGGTAGGTCGGAGGAGCCCTCTCTGACGTGACACTCAAGCTGAGATCCAAATGAGAAGCCAGATGTACGGAACAGAGGGAGCGGCAGGCACAAAGCCTGGCCCATTCGATAAGCAGAAACGAGGCCGATGAGACTGCGGGTCAGGAGCAAGGGGTGAGGCTCAGAGGAAGACAGAGGCCAGACCGCGGGTCCTGCGGCCCAGAAAGAGGCTGGGTTTTTTACTCTAAGCACAAAGAGAAGCCACTGGGAAGTGCTGAAGCCGAGGGTAGACACGATCCGATGGGCCTCTGTAGAAGGAGTTCGCCGCCTACTGTGTGGGAATGGAGGGGCAGGGAGAGGGGGACAAGGGGCCAGGTGAGAAGAGCAAGGGCCAGAATTGCAGGGGTGCAGCTGTCAGAAGCAGGGGCCATGGCTCGAAGGCAAAGATGGCTGTGACTCTGAGTCATGACGGTAACATGGTAGTAACCAGGTCCAGGTTAGGGACAGCAGAGTTAGGCAGACAACAGCCCGGGGCGCTTTACTTTATCTGAAAAACAGGGCTACCACCCCCCTGCCTTGGGGTTGTGGCATACGTGCAGGTTCTTAGCACCAGGCGTGGGCCGGCGCGGGTGCTCGAATGCGCGTGCCCTTCCCCTCGCTCTTCCTCATTTCTCCGCAAAGGGTGTGAATCTGCTCTCCCGGAGGAAGGACAGGGGCAGCCTTGGTCTCCCCATTGCACTGTGTTCGGGTCACAGTTTAACACCTCTAGGAAGATAAGGAAAGTCTCCTCACTCAGCAAGTAAGAAGAGCCACGATGCCTGTACAAAAAGAGAAAAAAAAATATCCCTCTTCTTTCCTTCTACGGTTTTACAGGCCAAACTAAGGACCCACCAAATCCTTGGGGGCCTTGTCATTTGATGATGGGGGAAAAGGCGGGTGCATGAAAACACATCCTACAAAGAGGCTCTTTCTAAATGCATGCGTCAGGAGGGGCCAGGCCTGGTCTACAGTGACCTGGGGAAGCATGTGAAAGAGCTCCAGCTTCGGGATCAGGAGGACCTGAGCTGTGCTATTTACCGGCAGCCTCCCTGCAGTCCCGATTTCTTCAGCTGTTACATGGAAACCACCACGCTCCTTGAGGGGGTTTGTCTGGGAAAGCGGCAAACGTGCGACAAAAGCAAAGCCAAAATAAAGAACTGCACGGTTGCTAAGTGCCAGCGTGTAGAAGTTCCAAAATTAGGCTCAATGGTCACACAGTAAAGGAGAAAGTCAGGCCTCAAGCCCGGTTCTGACTCCGAAAGTATGTCCTTTGCTATTCACCTACACTATTTACTAAAAAAAAAAAAAAAAAAAAAAAAAGTGCCTTCTTGTTTTATTTTAACCTGTCTCTTCCATCTCCAACCTAGACTGGCTCAGAGTACGTGTCCAAAAATGGACTTGGATGTGACTGACCAAACAGAATTCAGTTATAAGGAGAGGGGAGGAGAAAAGGGCAGAGAGGATCACATGCCCCTTAATATCCATCTGATGACGGAGACATGAATAGAAGACTTTAGGCAGTGTGACCTTGGGCCGGTCCCTTCTCCTTGAGCCTTCGTTTCCTCTACTGTAAAATGGAGAAATGACCTCCGACTGCCTACAGCATGGAGGGGGGGGGGGTTAACAAACAGGAAAGTACTTAACACACGGCAGCTGGGACCCCACGTGCCCAATGACCAGCGAGGCCATCTGTCACCAAGCCCATGAAACCATCTAGGAAGATGTAGATTTCCGCATGTGCCTGTAGGTGTAGAGAATATCATATCACTGGAAGGAAACCGAAGGCAACGGAAAACAGGGAAGATGACCAAGTACCTGGCTCAGCAGTGAAGAAGAGACGTGACTTTCGTACCATGTGCTTATATGATTTCTTCATTTTCCTCTTAAAAACAGAACATGTTTTAAAGCCCTGTCCACAGATTTAACTGTGGCAACATGCGTCCGGAAAACTAATCCGCAAAGGTATGATAGCGGCTTCCTCTGGAGAAATGGGACGGGCATGGGGGAACTTCTGCCTAATGTGTAATGTTCTATTTCACAAGCAGAATGTATTTACGTACTATTTGTATAATTAAAAATTAACTCAACGGGACATCTTCAGAGGGCATTTTGGCAGTACCCACCGTGACTGAAAATGCACGGTGCCCTCGGCCCCAAACGGGTTCAGTTCCAGGAGCCTATTCTACAGACATGTTAGCACCCCCACCAGACTTGTTCTGGAAAATTCACTGACGCATCGTTAGCAAAAACTGGAAACGAGGTGAATGCCCATCATTAGGAGTTAGTTAAGAAAACGCTGGTCCTAGCGGCCAACGGAATTTTCTATGAGCTTTAAAAATTACGCAGCTCTGTGTGCACTGGGTCGAACTCTTAGTGTGGAGTAAAATAGTGTACGTGGTGCTACCATTTTGTGAAGAAGAGGAAGGGGCTACACGCGCACGGGCGTGCTTGTCCCTACGTGGGGTTTTTCTGAAATGACACAGGAACTGGGGACAGCGGCTGACTCTGCCAAGGGGACCAGGAGCCCAAAGAGCCGAAGAGGGGAGGCCTTTTCTTTTCTTCTCTTTTTTTTTTTTTTGGTGACACTGTTGACATACACCCTCTTCGCAGTCTTTGCGTTTTCTCACTTGTTCGTGTATTACAAACGTTATCTCGTGGGAAAAAAAAAAAAAAAAAAGAATAAACCAAAAGCAAAACCAAAAACTTCAAGGAAGCCGCCTTCCTGCGCGGTCGTGCCGGGCGGTCAGCGCTGCCGAGTCGGCCGGGCCGCGAGTTCGAGCCCCGGGGCGGCCGCTCCCTCGCCGCGGGGCGTCGGGCGACCCGGGCGGCCGCGGCCCACGCCCCTCCCCCGGCCCACGCCCCTCCCCCGGCGGCGGCCCGGCCGCCCCGCCCCCCCCCCGCCCCCCCCCAGCCCGGCCCGCGCTCACCGCCAATGATGGTCCGGATGAGGGAGGCGTGCCCGGGGCAGTCGACCAGCGTGACCTGCAGCCGCGGCTCGCCGGGCTCGGGCGCGGCCCCGGGCGCCGCCGGGGACGCGGGCAGCGCCGCCCGCAGGCGCGCGGGCAGGGGCACCGAGAAGCACGAGAAGCCCAGGTCGAGCGTGATGCCGCGCTCGCGGCTCTGCGGCTGCTTGTCGAAGGCGGCGGTGGAGGCCGTGGTGCTCAGCGCCCGCGCCAGCGCCGTCTTGCCGCTGTCGATGTGGCCCAGCACGCCCACGTTCACGTTCACCCGCCGCCCGGCCATGCCGCCGCCGCCGCCCCGCCCCTCCCGCGGCCGCCCCTGCGGTCCGGCCGGGTAAGCCGCCCCCCCCGCAACCCGCGCGCCGGGCACGCCCGTTCCGGCCCCCGAAGCTTCCGCCCTCCCGCCGCCCGCGGGCGCTGCCTGGCGCGCAGAGGAGAGGGCGCGGGGTCGGAACCTGACCCGGGGCCACCGACGGTGGGGCTGGACGTCACCTGGCTCCCGCCGCCCGAGGCCTCGCGGAGCCCGAGGCTGGGTGGATCCGTCCGGCCGTCCGCGGGTTCGTGGCAGCGGGCGCTGCCTACTCCCGGCTCTTTCACGTTGGGCTGCACTGGGGCGGGGGTGCGAGTCAGACGGTAAACGGGACCCTTAAGGTCTGGAAGCAGACCCTTTTGGGGGTGTATGAAGCCTTCCAGGGAAAATGAATGCAGAGATTAAAAGGACCAGAAGCACTTACAACGAATGGTCGGGAAGACCTCTCCCGCCTTGCTGATTGAGCTGAGGCTGGAATGTTGAGAGCCAGCCAGCCCTGGAAGAATCTGGAAAAGACTTAGAAGACGAAGACAAAGATACCGTCTCTGACCCTGGAAGTCTGTAGCCTGGCTTCAGGAGAGGCTGTCGAGCCCCAAATTGTAAAATGTCGTGTGCAGGTGCGTGTACTGGGGAGAGTGCGGAACTCTCAAAAGATTCTTCAAGTGTCTGGAACCACTAAGAAGGTTGTCATCCCCAGGCAGCAGCCGGGGCTCACAAACAGGCGTCTGCGCTGGCTAGGCCGATGTCACTCAAGGAGACAGATGAGCAAGGCTTAAGATGCCAGCGCATGTGGAGACCGGAGCCGTGAACAGCACGTAGAGGAAGCTCTGCTCACCTCCGGACGATTGATACCAGGCAGCAAGGCTAGCCCGGCATCGCCCATCTTCCCATTTTTCGAGAGAAGGGAGCATTTCTATAGGAAATCTGACTTCTTACATGTCAGCAACTAATTTCGCTTTTGACTTCAACACCATGGTAGGTAGCCAAGCACCAAACCCACTCGATTCTGCCTGGCAGCCAGTTTGCTGTCTGCGACGAGCCAGGCCATGCTCTGATATGTTCACACTTGGCAGGAACTGCTCCCTGATGCCTCCTGTGGTCCAGGCCCTGCACCAGCACCAGGGTCCCCGAGAGAAGCAGACACGGTTGGTCAGTCCGTCCCGCAGCACAGGGAAGTCGAGGGCACGTGTGGGACAGCTGACACCACGCAGCTGCCACTCGAGAAGACATGTGCATCACACAGGATGAAGACTTAGGGCGGGGGTTTAGAGACGGGCACCGCTAGGTGCTTGCACACAAGATACCCAGACAGAAAAGAAGCTGCGTGCTAATCTTACTCCGAATAGGCCTTTCCCGGTATAGTTTTAGTCTGCACGTGTGGCCTTCTAAAATGTCACAGGCAGACACGCTGGAGAGTCGATTACAGGCTGTGATAGTGCGATGTATAGTAAATATTGTAGGGGCGCCAGGGGGCTCAGTCGATTAAGCGTCTGACTCTTGGTTTTGGCTCAGGTCATGATTTAGCGGTTTCGTGGGTTCGGCCCGGCGTTGGGCTCTGTGCTGGCAGCCCGGAACCTGCTTGGGATTCTCTGTCTCCCTCGCTCTCTGCCCCTTCCTGTCACTGGTGCTGTCTCTTGTCTCTCTCAAAATAAATGAATAAACTTAAAAAGAAAAAAATATTTATTTTGAAGGGCGCCTGGGTGACTCAGTCAGTTGAGCGTCCGACTTTGGCTCGGGTCATGATCTCGGGGTTCGTGGATTCACGCCCCACATTGGGCTCTGTGCTGTCAGCTCAGAGTCCACCTCAGATCCTCTGTCTCCCTGTCTCTCTGCCCTTCCCCTGCTTGCTCCCTCTCTCAAAAATAAATAAATTTTTTTAAAAAAATATTTATTGGGCCTTCCTCCTGCTCCTGGCACAGAGCTCCAAAAACCCTTGAAACTTCCTGTGATGAGAATGAGGTGCTTTTGTTACGTTGCTGAGGTGACTGGAAAGCACCTAAGGGTGGGGACTGGCTTCCAGAGGAGCCAACCAAAGGATTAGAGTTGGAACTCTCACCTGACCCCGGGGGAGGGGAAACAAGAGGAGCTGGAAACTGAATCAATGGCCAATGATTTTTTCAATCATGCTTGTATAGTGAGGCCTCCCCCAAATCCCCAAAGGGCAGAATTCAGAGAACTTCCAGGTTCAAAGAGAATGGTGAGCTCAGCTAAAGCATGGGAGCCTCATGCCCCTTCCCACATATTTTGACCTATGCATTGCTCTTTCTGGCAGTTGGAGTTCAATTCTTTTTCTTTAAATGTTTTTGTTTTTGATTTTTGATAGAGCATAAGCAGGGGAGGGGCAGAGAGAGAGAAGGAGACAAGGAATCCACAACAGGCCCCAGGCTCTGAGCCGTCAGCACAGAGCCTGACCCGGGGCTCGTACTCATGAACCTCGAGATCATGACCTGAGCCGAAAGTCAGATGCTTAACCAACTGAGCCACCCAGGCGCCCCAATCCTTTTGTAATAAACTTGGAATCCAGTAGTAAGTTCTCTGAATTCTGTGAGCTGCTGTAGCAAAGTAATCGAATTTGAGGAAGGGGTCGTTGGAACTTCCGATTCAGGGCTGGTCCCCGGAAGTGTAGTGACAGCCCGGACTTGCACTTGGCTTCTGAACGGGTTGGGGGCACTCTCCTAGGACTGAACCCTTAACATGTGGAAGCTGATAACATCTTCAGTGTCAGAACTGAGTTGGACACACTTTACCCTTCACTCCTAGGCTCTGTGGCTAGCCTGATAACAAAATTGATATAAGACAGATTCACAAGTTAGCCAGGCAAATTTAGTTTTGTACTTGGGAGAACTCAAAAATATGAGACTCAAAGAAGTGACCAGAGCAGGTAGCTTTTTTTTTTTTTTTTTTACATTTTTAGATAAAGAAATAATAAGTTTGTGAAGAATTGACGAGAAAAAGAAGCTCGGGCTTGGCATAGCAAATTAGCGAAGAGGTAAACAAGGTTTATTTATATAGCCTTCTGGGCCCTGAATTCCCTATCTCTGGGGCTAAGGATGTCTTCTGCCTAGGTACCCTTCATGTGGGAAATTTATTTCCTGTTTTCGGGGAGGCAGAAGCGGGCCAGCATGTTTTTGTTGCACGGTTTCCCAAGTAACTTTAATTCCAAATAATCCATAGGCCAAAATGGCATATATGGGGGCACCCTGCCCTGAACCTTAACACGGTTAAAAACAAGACAACTGGCCCAAAATGGAGTCACTTATGCGAAGCGCTATGTCATCAAACCGAGAATGAACTTAGTTACAAGTTTGGCTCCCCCAGAAATGGAATCTTAAACCAGCTAATGCCTAGTATTACTTCCTTGTTCCTATGCCCTGAGTATAGTGCATTTGAGATTCATCCATGTTGCTGCATGGGACCACATTGTGAGGTCCTTCTCGTCGCTTCTCACCGAGTAGATGGACCACCATTTTTTTTTTTACCTCTTCATCCACTGAAAGACAGGAAGACATTTTACTAGAAGTGCATTGTTAGTTTTGAATTTTAAATTATGCAAAAGTATTACCTTTTCGATAAATAAGTAAATTTTTTTAATGTAAAATAATGTCAGGGTGCCTGGGTGGCTCAGTTGGTTAAGCATCCAACTCTCGATTTCAGCTCAGGTCATGATTTCACGGGCGTGATATTGAGCCCTGCCTTGGGCTTCAGGCTGAGCGTGGAGCCTATTTAAGATTCTCTCCCTTCTTCTCCCTCTGTCCCTCCCTCCTTTGCACGTGCTTCCTCTCTCAAAAATAAATACTTAAAAAGTAGAATAATGTCCTAAAAACACCAGTGGGACTAAGATCCTTTAATTTTTAGTCCTTAAAGAGTGGGAGAGTTATAAATGCTTTCTCACTATTTCCTGTAGATGGACTCTCCCCCACCACTCTCCTCTCTGGCCACCAAGAAACTGTACAGTCCCGCAAATGGACAGTGCCGATCCACCCTGCCCTACACTCATCCAATAGCTATGCCTATTGCCTGCCACACCTTCTGGAAGCTTCCTCCGTGCCATGACCCACACTAGTCACAGGTTTAGGAAGTGAATGACAGAAACCTTCCATGAAACTGACTAAAACAAAGCAAAAACAAAAACGGAAAGGAAATCCATTGGCCTATGGTATAGTTAAGAGTACAGGCTCTGGCAGCTGTCTGCTCATGCTTGAATCCCACTCTGCTGTTTGAAAGCTGCGTCGTCTCGGGCCAGTTACAAAATCTCTTTGTGCCTCAGTTCCTTCATTTGTGAAGTAAGAGGACGGCGCGGTTCCTAACTCACAGAGTTGCAAGGATTAAATGAAGTGGTATTTGTGTAGCACCTACAGCAATGCCTGGTAGATAGGAAGGGCTGTGTTATGTCTGTTAAGTTAAATAAATAAACCTAACTCAAAAGTCTAGAGGAAGAGCCCATGTTCATGTCAGCCTCATCCAGGGGCTCAGACGATGGCACAGAGCCACCAGCTTTGTCCTTCCCTCCTCTGGGTTTCTCCCATTTCCAGGCAGGTCGTCTCCTCATGGTGACAAGATGGCTGCCAGCACCTCCATCCTTACAATCTGTGTGTCCCTGCACCGAGCAGAGAAGTGAAATGCTCTGCCTAGCCAAGTGTAAGTCATCGGCTCACTCCAAGGGCCAGGAGGAAAGTAGAGCAAACTCCCTGTGGGTACTGGGGTGCTGTCGCCAGCAAAATACAAATCCCATCATGCCCCTCTCTTGTGAATTCTGTCTCTGTCCTGACATCGATTCCACCGAGTTGAGTTTGCTTTAGGCCAGGCTGGTGCTCTAGGGCCACCCTCCCTCCCCCCACACCCCCCCTAACCCACCATCCTAGTAGACTGGGGATCCCTTAACGTCTTTGACTGCCCAGGGCCTGACACAGGCTAATGGTCCTGTTTCTTGAGTGGACTTGCCCCCAAACTTCCAGCCCACAAATACATCCTCCTCTGCAGCAGACTTTGGGGTCCCCTACGGTTCCACAGGCTGGGCACGGTCCCTGGGAAATAACTGACAGGAAATGGCCTGCAGAATTGCGATTATTTGGGATTTGTTCTTAATGTTAATGCGATGCTGGTTCCTTTCTGTTTCTTTAATGCCATTTTGTACGAAGGTAGTTCAAAGTTCT